CTCATTATACTGGCCAGTATGTGTGATGACATCGTCAAGTTATGAACTCTATTCTCTACACGACTGCATGCAGAACGCCACATTGCTGTATACAGGATCTGAGGTCTTCACGGCGACCGAGTTTAGACAACGATAGTTCAACACAGTCTATGAAGGCAGCGCTTTCTTCTGAAGCGTTTGTACACAACCGAAAGACTTCATCAACTCAGAGAACTAATTTCTGAACAATTTTCACATTTTAGGATTAGATTAAAGTATGTAAGTTCGCAATTCCGCAGCTGAAGTTTGAAGAAGTGCATCCTAATAGTAGCAAATATTGTATTAATGTGCTACATGCATAGAAACTTCAGGTTTTTGTGAACTTAAAAGAGTTCTACATTCCTCCATCAAAACATGGAATGCATTCTCCTTCTTCTTCATTATCACAGCTACATACCCAGCCCATCGGATGCCCTTTAATTTAACTATTATAATACTAGACGTTAATAAACATCTACTGTCTTTGTTATATAACAGGGTTATCATACATACACAGTCCACTTAATGCCTTCCTCTACGATCAAATTTCTATTTTTAAAGACTTGCAATTTGGCCTTACTGCTCTGCGCAAATCATAAACGACGTTTCTCAAACACGAAAGAAAAAAGGGCTGTTACAGTTCCTTTTTAGCTTATAACCTGAATTTATTTTTCTATGGTTAGGGTTTTATTTCGTCTACCAACCCCGAAGTTGGAGGATCACCTCTTGTCGGCTGTCCGAAGTGCTCATTCATAGGACTATATTCGCCTTATGGATGTGCAGATAGGAAAACAAAATCGCAGAGACCCCTTGTAAATTAATTCTGTGAACGGTTAGTGATCCATTTGAATCTCAGTAGTATTCACATCTGATCTCCCATTCAGCTATGATAAATGTTATTACGCATGAAGAAAAGTCGACTACCAGATCATATCTACGCATGCGCTGTCACACAGTGACTCACCATTTTTTCAACAATCGATTTTAAACATATCGCATCATATTCAATTACGACGTGACATCACTTCCTTTTGTGTGCGTTATCTGGCCACTTCCGTCCCACCACACAAACACAGAAGGTGCTGATGGATGGTCCTAACATGGTTAAATGGGGCGGATTCTCTGATTCGGCGTGCAGCTGATGTCGCGAACTGATTAGACTACCATGTCAGTGAAGTAGGACTCCGGAGACCCAGTTAAAAAGTCGGATGTCAAATATTGTATTTCATTCAGTTACCACAAGCTCGGGAAATGTAACATTAAGAACTGTGTCAGGCCATGTTATAGCTCAGGCGGTTCGCCACAGTCTATATGAGATATGTGGTGGACAAAGGGGCACCGGGACAGGTTCTCTCCGAGTCCTTAGATTTCCTCTGTCTGTATATTCAACCTGGGGTACGCGAAGACATCTTAAGTGGTACATGAAATTTAAAAAAAAATACATATTATTTTATGATAAACACTGAATAATCAGTAATGTAATTTATTTAATTTATTTTAGATGTAGATTATATATTATGTATAATTTGAATTGTACACCAACAACTTTGGGGGAACAAAGTTGGAAGAGAAATTATCGCCTGTGTAACTTTACAGGCGTCGTCCGAGGTATCCAGTCACATCAGAACCCTGAAGATGGGGACAGAGTTGGTTCCCGAAACGTCGGTTTACTACGGTAACCTGTTAACGCGGCTGATTGCCCGAGAAGATTTTATTGATTGTGCTCGCAGCGAAAGTTTCAAATCCTATATTCTCCGAGATTATGTTACACATTTCTCACACACTCAGTGCCTCAGGCCTTGTACCAGTTCCTTTCGTGGTTCCTTAACACCGGGAGAAGCACAGAATTTGCCGCGATCGCTGTGTCCAATCATCTCGTAATTTTTCAACTGGCGTTTAACAACCCGTTCAGTTGCCTCATCGTCATTACATGAATACACGGCGGGGTGTTCCGGCGTCGAACCCGCTGCCCGCGTATCGCTGACTGCGCCGATAATAAAATACAACAAGTGAATGCCGCTGTATAAAAAGGCGGAATTTCATTAGCACTGCGTGACTGGCAGTGCGTGGGAGGCGGAGGTGGGGGGGGACAATCGATTACTTGGTCGATTAATTCACAGGGAGCTTCAAGTACTCGATCACGGGGTAATTTACCTCCAGCCCCTCGGAAACCAGTCTTGCACGTGAACCAGCCCCCAAAACCAATACCCATTAATACTAACCCCTTACTCTATTTATAAAGTTGTGTCAAACAAAACACAGGCCAGTGAAGGCTTAATCGCGTTACCGGTACGTGTTGCCATCTAGACGCGAGCTTCAAAGTGAGAAATGATCGGTAAATCCCGTTAACTCAGCAGACTGGATGCGTCTCAATCGCTAAAGATGCACAAATACTTTGTGTAACACAGCATGTACACTAAGGAAGACAGACAGCCATCGTTCGCGTGTTTGCGCATGTGCAGTAGGACCGTCGCCACGTTCAAACTTACGGAACAAAACTTGTAGGAATTTTAACCAACACAAATTCATATGAATGTTGTAAATTACAAAGCTTCTTCTCATGCAATTTATTGTTTGTATTCTCTTATTATTCAGCTTATCTTATGTACAAATTTTCTTCTCGAAACTGTGTTGTCAATCAACTTCTTTCCAGATAGACCAAGAATCATACTCGTACAAAAAAAATCATCATTCAGTTGTTTTCTATATTTGAATATCAATGCTTTTGTAACAAGATAGGAAAGAATGATAGAATAGCAGAAAATATTTCCTGCATTTAATATCCTCTTTATAAAGGATAATTATCCTTTCAATTTATTACTGTCGTACGCAGATACTCATATTACTACTGTCCCGGATTCTGATGGTGATTAATGAACCAGAATGTTTCTGATTTTAATTCCGTTGATTAAAGAGCGATCTGTCCTACATGGCATTTTAAAGCCTGAGAAACCGAACACTTTTAAAGTTATTTAAGACACAGACACTACATGTTAGTTTTTGTGACATGTCTTCGAATAAAAACGTATGTAGATTGTTCTTGTCTGAAAGGTGTACGTCACAAATAATACGTATGAGTGAGTGAAGTTAAAGATCCACACATTTTTAATCTCGATATTAGACGGGGAATCACGCCACATGGAATAGGGGAGCCAGAGATAGTGACATATTTTAATCAAGACTACAACAAAATAGTCACTTTTCAGTGCTGCCACTATCAAGTCGCGCTCCGCCCTGTCTCCCCGTAAATGCGTACGGTTTCATGTCCAGCAAACAAGCTAGAGTTGTTGACCGCTAATGTTACCTTTCTAGCCGCTCCGTCTTATCAGCGGCCCGCGGTTATCACCGCAAATCTTTCACAGGCGTGAGCATTTTCAGTTCTGACTTTGTTTCACAAAAGTAATGTTTATGGGAAGAGACGAGAGAGGTATCGACTGTCGTCATAACATTCTCTGGGAAACGATTTCTATGTGGAGTTTAATTAGATCTTCATGCTTGTGATTAGAAGATATCTTAGATTGCTTTCACACGTGAGCCGGCATACAGCTCATGCGGAGGCGATAAGCAGTCCAGAGTTCGGATCTCATGACCATCCGCTAGAGTTACCAACTTTACTCAGTCCCTCCAGCAACATATTTTCAGTGTATTAGCAGCGTTCATCAAATCATGTTGCGACCTGAAGTAATAGTAATATTTTAGAGCATAAATATTATAAATGATTAATAAATAGTACCTATTACAAACAACTTAATGCAGTTTTCCCCCCCACAATATGACTCTCCCGTATAAATGCGTTGGCTAGACTGGCTCGATCTGCAGCTCACTGAGCCTCGTCTGAAAGGGTTCCATGTCAAAGATGGCGAAACTCTCCCCGCCAGTAGCCGCTCACACAGGTTCAGCGGCTCTCGTCTGAAAGAGCGCAATGCATTTTGCTGGGATTTCTATCCCCCACCAGTCGCTTCAGCTCACATGAGCCGCTAGCCGAGAAGCTCTGGCTAATGTGCGGGGTTATGGGTGACGTCATGCCGTGCGACAGAGAGAAAGATACACATTCTGTACATCATAATAAAAGAATGATTCTGCTGTCCATTCCGAAAAAAATACATTTCCTAGAAATAATTTTATTCTGTTAGAATTTGTGCCAATTCAGATGTGTCTGTTCGATCGGAATCCTAGTCATTGTCACTACTGTTACTGTCGATCGAGCATTATCTACTGTTACTGATGCTGCAACCTAAAATCTCAACAGCTGTATGTTTTCGCTATGAACAATAAAGATTTCCCTCCTGCTACCAACACTTCCAAGAAATGTAGGAACCTCTCCCCGCCACTTCAAGAGTTCAGAAAGTTACTTAGTGGTTTTTTACAAGGCTATAAAATGTCTGTTGTTGTGGACAGGCATTAGTGGCGGGCCCTTGCAAACGGCAATAGACATTTGGTTACCAAGAGACGAACAGAATTATTGACTATCAAGGCGACTGGTTAACTGTGGAAGAATTCTCGATACATTCACGCTAACTGCTATGAGCCAGTGAGTCACTGATCATGCCGAGCTCACGTGACCCAACACTAGAATTACCAACTTCGCCCAGTCTCTCAAAAGACATTTTCTGTGTATTAGTGCTGTTCGACAAGTCGCGGAACTTGAAGAAGAGGTTACTTTGGCTACGCTGGCTTTAAAAAAGCAAGTAAGAAGAGCAGAAGAGTGTGGGTGCATCCCATTTTCAGTGGTAGACAAACACACGGCAGTTCTTATACATTGTATGACGAACTGAGGCAAGATGATAAGTTTTTTTAATTACTTCCGTATGTTAATTGCATCATTTTATGAGATGTAAAATACCTTAAAGGGCTCCTTTCGTGAGATATACAAGTATGAGGAGACGTATCCTACTTGAGGAGAAAATTTTTGTGACAAAGAGGTGAGAAAAGTACTCCATTTTTATAACACTAGTTTATTTAAAAATAACAGTTATCAAAGAACAACAGAAACAAATTATTATTCTGAATGGAAAATTCTACAGTCTACTTTAGTTATCATGATGGCTAGAAGTGGCGCTGAGGGTAGGAGATGGCTCTGAAGACGATGCCACATATGAGCTCCGTGTAGGCCGGGGCACATCGGCCACCTCCATAAAATTACATGTTTCGCTAATACTCGGCATATTTTGATCATTTCGTACGTTAAAATAGCATGGTGGAACAAAATGGGATGTAGGTATTAGTTGAGTGTATTTCATAACCACCTGCATCACTTCTGTCCTCATCTGTAGTTTAAGATCGTCTGGCACTTTTTTTACATGAGACAACAGAGACAAAAGAAAGTGTTTGTCCTCATCATCCGTAAGTTCTTCTTGAAGTTTAGCTTCCATATCAAATATTTTCTTCTCTGCCTTAGCCTTCTGTGACAGACTTCGATTCCGGACATCACAGATATTTTCTACTGTGTCCTTTGTCTTCTTTGAACGTTTTACCCCTGAGGGTACATGTGAAGACGATGCAGAGTTCTGTGGCTGTAGTTGTCCATCATTTTTGCTTCTTTGTAGTGACTGGTTGATGTTTGAAATTGTCCTGGGGGTTGGGGGTGGAAGAAATATTAAAACCTATATAAACTCAAGTCAAGGAAAAAACACGTTACTTTTTGCAAATCACTTATAAAACAGGTACTTAACTGTTTATTTGATACAACTGGTAGTAGGAATGACAACATATCGTAATACGGATATTTTGTCCGTTTTTCTGATCCATTTCCGGATTTAAGCATTTTTAGCTTCGACACTTCTCGTACGAATGCCAACCTGAGATTTTTCCATTTTTTTTGAAGCTCCAGCCCTGTAATTGATACTTAAGATTTAAATAACACTCCGATTCGTAAGAAACATTTCTAATGTAAGTATTAATAAAGGTAATATCCCATTTTTCAGGTAGCCAGCTACTGGGTGCACTTTGATCGAACTGCATTATATCTGCAATATATGAATATTTACTCCTAGTAAAATAATTGAGGATGAATGATTTGAGGTTTTCACAGCGGTGAGTATGAAGACAGAAATATTCATCATTCAGGATGTTTGCAAAAAAAAAAAAATACCTTAATGAAAATTGTATGCCTGAACCAAACGAAATAAAAATGGTTACAAAATTACTCATGACTTCAACTAGAAATTATATTTTCCCAACTGCCTAGGAGCAATCGATGGCAAACATACGTATTATCATACCAGAAGATACTGGATTTCTATACTACAATTATAAAACTACGATGCTCAGTATGGTTGTAAAATTGTAGATATTGGTTCGTACGGAAAATGTTCAGATTCGTCAATTTTTCAATCCTTAATTTTCTGTGAAAAACTGAAAAAGCGATTAGTAAAAATCACAGTTCCTGAACCACTTACAAAAACCCTCGAACTGAAATGTGCACTGTTCTTTGTTGGTAACGAGGCATTTGGTCTTTCTCAGAACATCATTTGACCCTAAGCAAGCAACAGTTTTAACTTTTAAAAAAAGTGTTAAGTTACAGCTATTTTGGTAAGTCACTAATAAACAGACGACCTTCCACAGACATCTGAATGTGTCGGAGGAATTTGCTACAAATATTATCAAGGCTTGTGTCATATTGCGCTGCTTTGTACGAGTCAGAGATGGCTTTAATTTTGAAGATACCTTTTACTGTGAGATTGCCACACATCACCCAGTGAAATATCCCAAAGTTATACAAATTATCTTCAATAATTACTTCACAGGCGCATGAGAAGTACATTAGCATCTAGCCAGATGTAAGGAATACAAAGATACATACCAATATCTCTCCGTTTCTTCTCAACCATTTCATCAAAATCTGCGTAATGAATTCGACAGATTTCTAGCCAACATGCGTGTTTCTTTAACCTGTCGCTGTATTCTTGGGAAGAGGAATCCCAAATGGACGGTCGATCACGAACGTTACGTATAAAGTGTTCGACGTCGAATGCTAATTTCTCCATTTCCCTCAGGAAAAAAAAAAATCAAGCACAAATTCTTGCTTATACATTATATAAAATGATAATATTTTATAGTATAATTATCAGTAATTAATAAATAGTACATATATACTTACTGGGGATCTTTTGTCCACAGAATAAGCACGCTCGAGTGTAAATGCGTTGGGTACACAGGCTAGATCTGCAGCTCACTGAACGCAGAGTGCAACGTGTTCCTGTTAAAGCCAGCAGCTGCTGCTAGCTGGAAGAGCTACATAATAGCGCATGAGCCTGGCTCACAACTTCCCCTGCTCTCGTGTTCAAGGACACCACGCATTTTGCCGAGAATCCTGTTCACAGCTGTCGCTTCAGCTCTCGTGAGCCACTCGCATGAACTACGTGTGTGTGAGAGAGTGAGAGAGAGAGAGGAACGGAGAGAGATAGAAAGCGAGAGAGAGGGACGGGGAGAGGGAGAGGGAGGGACGGAGAGAGAGGGAGAGAGAACGGCAAAAGCTGTTGTTACCGTTTGAAGTTTCCGAGACCGTTTTCATACGAAGCAGTCCTCAAAACTAACGTAGACTTGCACGAAAAAATCCCGTGTAAACAACGGGAAGTTGAATGACCCCAAAACAGAGGTCATATTTCTTGTGTCACTCAACGGACTCGCTGTTCGCTGTGTAAACGCTACAAGGTTTAAACTTCTGAATGATATATTATAAGTTTATATTAAAATAAAAGAGTGTAGAGGTATGTTATGATGAACGGTTTGTTACCTCGAGCATATTTGAAGAACTTAACATTTCTTTTTAAGAACTTAGAAACAGTTAACTAGAATAGTGTCTGGGGAGAGAACGCAGATGTTTTTACGAATTGCGCATGCACTAAAAAGGAATTTTATGCCATTGCTGGTCCTGACAGTGAAGAGGTTCTAAACAATCATGAGGGAAAGGTTAAATTTAGACTACGAAGGTGAAGATAAAACAGAATTAACGAGCATTTATTTGAACAGCTGTAATCTACTGATAATTATAATAGGGACAAGCTGTGTTCTTCTGTCTTTAAAAAATACTGAGATGGATCCCAAGTTCTTAGTTACTACTGTCCACTTCTCATGCTGCCCTTCAAATTTAAATGTATCAAAAGCCTCTTACTTTAGACGCCAATAAATTACGCACATCCTATTGACATGGATGGCATGAGATTAAAGACGTCAGTGTATTTTATTTATCACACATTGTTTTCTGTGTAATCTTACTCCTCTGCCACTCTTCCAAATTCTGTTATTTGCTTCAAAGTGTTAATGGAGTTTCTCTCGTACGTATTAAGCCATGACACACGCTAATGTGAGCAGAAAGCAAAGTCACGTTAAGAGAAAACGCATTATTGATGGACTAAATCGGTCGTGACCCGAGACACTTGTTGACACGACGGGAGACTCAATGTCTCTAGCAGATGGCTTGGTGATGGCAGTAAAACAAATTAAATCAACTGAGATAGCCACTGTTCCTAACGTAAGTAGTCGATAGAACGTAGTTTTATAACTGAATTGAACCCGACACTCCGGCGCAGTAACAGAATTCCCCAAAGAGCAGTTTGTTTTATGGCTTGTGTAAAGTTTAAAAAACGCACCCCCAACCAACAAATCGTAATCACGTTACTTCAGCGCCAGAGGGTTGTTCCACTCCGCCGACCCGCAACGCCACC